AACGTTAACGTTACTTTACTTACTTTACTTAAGTTAGTAGTACGTACGTACGTTACGTCGTTTCGTTCTTACGTTACGTTACGTTACGTTACTTCTTCTCTCTCTCTCTCTCTCTCTCTCTCTCTCTCTCTCTCTCTCTCTCTCTCTTATTTTAACTTTTTTTCCTTCATTCAAGTGGTCATTCTAGAGTTATAAATTACAGATCCACATACCATATTTTCCAACAATTCCAGCCTTCTTGGTGCGCTTCGTCTAAAGACAAAACACGTGAAGTTGTTAAAGGTTATCTTATGAATACATAATACATAGCAGCAACAGTCACCACTATTTCTTGATCACATCAAATGCATTTGCACATAAACAGACACCCATGAGGCCTTCCTCACATTTGAGGCGAACCAACTAACCAGGAGCCCAATCTAATGTACATGAACCACAAAAAACAGAAATGCAAACCATTGAAAACAACAGAGAAACAGTCAGGAAAGCAAAGTGCAATAATACTCCACAGTACTTTCATAAGCATCAGTAAATGCATTATATTTGTATTCCTAGCATGTTTATATGACCCAAAGGTACTACTGTCAATTCCTCTTTTCTCATCAAGGATGCTTAGACATTTTCTCCCGTCTTAAGTATTGTACTCCATTAATTAATTTTACACTTCATCCTTCAGTAACATGGTGTCAAACTAATATCAAAGGATATCAAGAGTTCTAGTATCAAAAGTCTTGCTCATTGTGTACCGGTCATCAGAATTACCATACATGAGCTTATAAGTATTGTTTATTTCACATCATTTATCAAACATATTGAATTCGAACCATTTCAAATTAAATTAAGATACATAGGTCACATTAAGTATTTCGCTTGTGGGCAAAAGCATTGAGTAAAAATTGTCCAAAAAAATAAAAGGATCTACATCAACAGATCAATCTCGTCCTCATCTATTTTCTCCCATTTGAGTAGTTTGAAGGTCTCAATTTAAATAAGTACTTATACAGATCAATGGCAAACTAAATGAAAACCATAAGCATACCAGATGTTCAAAAAGCGCAACCTTCACATAAACTTCTAAATAGTACCATTGTTCAAAAAAACGGACCACCGAGCACCTAAGCGGTCCAAAGGCCTGGGCGGTTTTACGTTCATTTGAAATCTAAACCCACAAGAACCCACATTAGAAAGACAGAAACCTAAAAAAAACTAAATTTTGTGATTTTCATTGAATCAAAGTATTTCTCAAAATTACAGAAAATGGATCCCAGCATCACCCAGGCCTATTAGATTTAGTTTTAGAGTTTTTCAATCCTATTAAATAGTGTTTTTTATTATTTCAGCACCAGAAAACATCTAAGAAGTGGGAATTTGGAGTTCAAGCAATCATAGTAAATGCAAAACTTTATTTTTTAGATTGCTTATTTTATTTTGAGATGTCTTCTTCAGGATCTAGTCAAAGTGGAGATCCGGGTTGAAAATATGGATATAACCCGAATCTAAATGACAAAAATTGCATTAAATGCAATTATTGTGAAAAAGATATAAAATGGGGCATAAACCGGTTTAAGAAACATCTTGCCAATATTAAGGGGGATGTTGCCCCTTGTAAAAATGTTCTTGAAACTATCAGAGAGGAGATTAAGCAATACCTGAGTTCGTAAAACAAAAACAGAAACAAAATCCTTGTCATTTGAATAGATCTATTTCTGGTTCTTCTAGAAGAAGTGAACCGGGTTGAAAATATGGTTATAACCCAAAACCAAATGATAAAAATTGTATAAGGTGTAATTTTTGTGAAAAAGATACCAATGGAGGTATTAACCAATTCAAGAAACACCTTATCGGTATTAAAGAGAATGTTGCTTCTTGTAAAAAGGTTCCTGAAGCTATTCGGGATGAGATTAGACAATTTCTGAATTTAAAAGAACCAGAAAAGGATAAATGAGCCTTGTTCTATAGAAATATCTTCTCCAGGTTCTTCTAGAAGTGGCGATCCGGGTTGGAAGTATAGTTATAACCCGAATCCGAATGGCAAAAATCGTATTAAATGTAATTATTGTGGAAATGATACTAATAGGGTCGATATTAAGGAAGATGTTGCCCCATATAAAAATGTTCATGAGGCTACCAGGGAGGAGATTATACAATATATGAGTTCAGGGAAACACAAAAAGATAGAAAATGGTAGAACAATTAAGACTCCTAGCGCCTCATCTGCACATACTAGTAAGAGGGAGGTAGAAAAAAAGGAGGAAGAGGAGGAGGAAGATGCAGATTCAAAAGCAATAGAGAAACACGAGCATTATATTGAAATGGGAGATGACTTTGATGATGATGGCCTCGAATTTGATGCATATGATGAGGCTTACCCTATTCCTTCTGATGATGATGATGATGATGACGACTGAAGAATGAAGAGTTGAAGACGCTTGAGTACTTGACTCTTGGTGTTGAGTGTTGACTATCGTGACCTAGATTGTATATTTTTTGAATTTCAGTATATTTTCTTTTTCTTATTTTTAGTTTCTACTATCTAACTTTCGTGTGTACAGTCTACAGTGTATCAGACTATCAGTGTATGCTTGTATGGCTTTACTGATATAGCATTGTATGAAAAAATGGATTATGGATTATCAAAATTCTCTTCTCGACTTCTTTCTTTCTTTTTCAATTGGGCCGCCCAAGTTCTAGACGACCGCCTAGGCGCTGGGCAGCCTGGACCCCCACAGCTACCTAGGTGCCGCCTAACGCTTTTTGAAACACTGAATAGTACAAAGAATTATGTTCATATAATGAAAACCCATGAGAAAGAGAAAAAAAGTAGTTCTCCACAGTGCTCAAAAATTAGCCAGCCTGGCTGCCTAAGTGATAAGCAAAAAACACATAGCATAGCCCTAGGCAGGTGGACTATGCAGACGTGCTGCTAGGAGCACGATGCACTTCGCCAAGGGTGGGTGGAAGAAGACCCTTGGCCAAGGGCAAAAATGTCATTTTCCCCTAACAAGGCATTGCGGCCCCCAAAACCTTTTTTGTGCCTTATTGAGAAAGAGAAATTTTTAAAACTTGTGCTTTTGAGATTTTCCTCAAGATCGAAATTTTTTTTGAAGTTTTTGATTTCTTACATAATTGAAAGTTATTCTACCAAATACTCTTTGAGGATTGGAGTAATTGCAAAAGAGGATTTTTTACAACCAAATGTCACCAATCAGCCTATATCGATTTAATTTTAAAAAGGCTAAGCATATTATTATATTTAAATTAAGGTTTCATGATATTTTGTGTAAAATGGATTATGATTTGTTTTTCTTTCCCATGTCTTTTGTCTTTGGGATACTTTGACTAGTTTGGCTTAGGAATATTCTCCCCTTCTTTTTCCATATTCAGATGTGACATCATGCTTTGAGTCTTGTTGGTTTATGTATTTTAAGTTTTGAAACCAATTTGACTTTTTTTTCCGTTGGTTTATGCATTTTGACTTTTTTGTAAGTAGGGACATGTGATTGATGTATTGACTTTGCAATGCTAGGGTCTAATGTTGATGTGATTACTGTTTATGGACCTATGGCACATTGGCATTTGAAGAGTAACGAAATGCAAGTTTTTATGGATTTGGAGCAACTTCCAAGCTTATAAAGTTTTGGCATTTCAAATTCCAGTTTCAATCCAATTCATGTAAAACTTGGAATAGCACAACAGAATAACATATACATGCCCTGCAAACTAATATATATATATATATATATATATATATATATAGTAGGAC